AAATTTAAAACTGAAAAGATGGAGGATTCTGCAAATGTATCTTGATACCACCTTAAGGTTCCTGTTCGATATACCTTAATATTGTGTTCTGGATATTTATCTAGGTCATACGTAAAGTTGAATTGAATTGAAGTACTTTGGCGTCAGTTGAATATCTATGTTTTTTCATTGAGTTCCTAATTAATCATGATAAACATGTCTGTCATATTCGATTAATTATATCACAATCAATTAAAGGTTCTGCTGATTATCTGCCAAACAGATACAGTACATACAAGTCAAGCGCCGTCAACACAGTAAGTCAATCAATGAAAAGTTTGTACAAATAAATCATTCAGTCGGAACAATGTTAAGCTTGTGTTGATGATACTTTAATTGGACAGGTCGATCAAAACATGATATAGCATTATGGCTGCCAATAAAATATTTATTGGTTTCTACGCATATCTATGTCAAAGGTCAAGTCACATAAAGAAAAAAATCATAGGGTGTATGGACTAAATTGATCAGATCTAGATTTTATAGTTATTAAATACTATTTATTAAAGATTAGTTGCAGTATTCGGGTACAATAGATCAACCCATGTAAAAAAAAATACAGACATGTGTAAGCTATGAACATTAGTTTATGTGACATAACCTTTGACATAGTCATGCCATTTGAAACTACGAGAGGGCTTGATATCACGAAGCTCTATGAAATGTGAAACACTAACATAGGCCATGAACATATTTATTACAGGGATTTTTTTTATAAAATCGCTTAGAAACAATTAAAAAAAAGCCCGAGGTACATAGTAAAGAGAGAATTGGGAAACGAGACAGTTGAACTTAACACTACAGAGACAAAATTTAAATAACATCACAACTACATAAATCTAGAAATGAGCAATACTGCATATGAACTTTAGAATTTAAGGGAGATAATGGTTTTTGTATACTTAGGCCTAGTCTACTAATTATAAAGGAATTATACCCATGCGGTTGGATGGAGTATACGGGCAATTTAGACCTTACTGTATCGTAGTGACCACCATAGAATGCTTATTATGTTAGATGGAGGTATAAAATAATAAATTAATAAAATTATTTTATACCTCCATGGTTATTATAGCTCGAATATATCTTACTATTTTGGTTTAGTGGTGTGATTGTTTTAGCGGATATTGGCCCGCGATGGCTTTCGTTAATTAAAGAAATTGAAATAAATTTAAAAAATCAGCCACGTGTGTTTTAACGAAACAAATAATAAATAAATGAAATAATTAAATGATTCCAAAAGCCCAGTGGAACTTTCATGACATTAAATTAACTAGGTACTGTATATATACATATTACTTAAATGTACCAAGCATCTTTTATAATTATTATATAGACCTTACATTTCACAAATTTTAAGAGTAATTTTCATTTTTCCTTGTTAATTATTTAAAAATTGTTAAATTGGATTTTTGCATAACCATCGGGCTATGTTCTACAGAATTTTATTACACTTCTACCTTAAATAAAATGAGTTCTGTTACACTATAGGCCTTTATAACTTTAAAATTACATATTTTATATATTTAGAATTTGAAAAATAATGTTATAAATAAACGCATGGAACTGTCTGAGAATACATCAAACAGCAGACACACTCTGTCCCATGGGCCAGTACGGTAATATTTTGCAAATGTAGTAACAGAAAATCTATATGCGTTGAAGGTCAGACGAGTTTACTATAGGTAAACACGTGACATTTTCGCGTAAAATCTATTAGTCCTGGGTTTCGCGTAATGCTATTGTCAGTTAACAAACGTGCTTTTTTTAGATTCTATATTTAAGAGACTTATGCTTCCAATTAAAATGATATAGGTGCATGCTTGAAAAGACATTCCCTTAATGTAGAATTTTAATGTGATGTTTCCAAAAAATTGAATCGAATTTTGTTTCGCATAAAATTGGAAATGGAATAGGATTTAAATCTCAAGCATTTAGTCATATTATCCTAGGCCTATTAAGGTACATGTTGCTTCTGTTGCTTTTGATTACTGTCACCTCCGTGCAGGGGAGGTGCAGCTTTATGGTTAAGATATTTGCCTTCTAATCCCAGGGCTTCAAATGCTGAGACAGTTTTTTGTTGTTTTTTTTTTAAATTACTATGAAAGCATATCATATCTTCAATCATTGTAAAGAGTATAATTCTTAAGCATTGATTACGTTAACATTCGAGGGTCTTGGAATATCAGCAAACCTTCTAGATAAAATTGGAATAATCATCAGACCTCAATAAATCGTAATTGACAACTTGTACATATTGCAATAATGTGATGTTCTGGCTGAGACTATTAGAGCCTACAACGATACTATACTACTTGTTGCTAATACAAATTTATTAATTCATCTACAATTTGAAAAAAAAAAATGAAAAGTTAATATACACAATGGATGAAATGATCAAAAGAGTGTCAACGCTATATTTACTGCTACTACCAATGCTATTATTACTATACTGCTGCAACTAGTGCTGCTGCTGTTCTACTTCTGGTACACTGTCTACTACTACACTACTACTACCACTACTACTACTACTACTACTAGTATTATCGGTGTATTAATAATGTGTTGTACTGTGAATGCTGCTACTGACAACAATAGGCCTACTATATGATCATGTTCACATACCACCAAATTATTTTATAGATTGAATAATTAGATGATATGATTGAACGCTTGTCTTGCGCCAGTATATCTACTGCCCTCACTACACAGTTCTACTAGTAGTAGTACTGCTGTAATAACATCTAGCGGCCTGCATGCGACAAAAGGTATCAATAGTGCAATAAACCCTTAACACTTCGTTTTACTTGAATAATTCATCGTTAATGAAATTATTTTCGGTCAAATGCAAGTGACAACTGTAAACCGTCAATGTATAACGATTGTCTGACATTTGCGCATGCGCGTATGAGTTTGAAAAGCAGTTACTTTGCAATAAATCAACATAATTAGTGAACTATGTTTCTAATGAACATAGCATCGTTTTACTGCATTGCGACGCATTGATTTGACTTTTAAATGAAAATGTCTCTATAATAAGTACGGTATATTCTTTCTCCATCATATTCTAATAAATGGGTCGACTATATCACATCAATTTGCATTTGCAAAACGCTGCAAAAATGTCAAATTAAAACAAGAAGTATTATCATGGACTACGTTGGTGGACGGTTATCTGTTTAATCGTCCATATAGCATAAAATGAATTTTGTTGCTTCTAATATCGTTGTTGATTCTCTAAAACACCTGATTCCATAATTAATTCTGACGATACAGTTTTTGAGGTTTAAAAACAAAAACAGTCACGCACCTCTTGCGCCGCTCGCCGAACGTGCCGAGACAATACGCTCGTCGTTATGGCTGCTGCCGCTCGTCACGTATTTTCTCACAAACTATATTTTGTTATGTGTAATTTCAGATTATTCTCTTCAAGCATTTATCAATCTCAGAGACTGGATCATTCTCCCTAGCAACACAATCTTCTTCAGCTGAGCACCACGTGATCTTAAATGACACCAATGAGTTATCCTAAGACCTGACATCATTTTTACATAAGATATATATCTGTTTGGCCATCATTAGCGTGTCTTTGATCGAGTATGTTTGAGTTGGGTGATAATGTTCTCAATTCTGATCACATACCCAACATACTACCACGACGGAAGGCGTCTACGCCAGTAGTTAACAGACTACTCGGAGTACACGACTACTATTAGGTCTACTCAAGTTGTCATTAACATAGCATTATTATGATTAACCACTACGACTTAGTGAATCAATTCCGCGAAAGTATCACGTGGTCTAGAGTACCGTATCTAATATGACTTTCCTGCGCGCTGAGCTGCGTCCAAGCTCAATATTTTGCGCACGCAGGATCATTATTTAAACCTCACGACTGAAATAATTTATGAACTGGTAACTATTTCTACAACAAGTAGGACTAAAATGATATAGCTTTGTATGCGCTAGGCCTATATCTATTATTAACGAACATAATTAATTATTGACATCGGTCTGACAAAAGGTATCAATAGTGCAATATTTCCAGAGAATGGGATTCGTCGTTGAGTTTGTTATTAATTTTATTTATCTTATTTACCAGTTTAGTTTACATCACAGGTAGGCAAGGCGCGGCCCGCGGGCCGCATGCGGCCCGAAAGCGGTTTTTGCGGCCCGCGAACATT